CTACAATCTCATAGTTCCACCAATCGAATAAGCAAATTACGGCTAAATCTCATTTCCCATTGATCAATTCTTCCAATTTCGTAGACATGAGAAAATGTTAAGTTCAAATAACACTATATAATTAAAATTAGAAATTTATTATAAATCTACCCATGAAGAATTACATTTAATCACATGCTTAAGGTATAATCATCTAAAGGTGGGCTAATCTAAGGGAACTAGTCACTCATACTTTAAGGAATTATGGTTTTACAATTGGAAAGAAAATATAAAGAACTGCAATGTTAAAGTGCAAGATCCTAATGATAACCTTCATTTTCACATTCCCTTAGATTAGAAAAACACCTTAGACTCTCTAAAATCGAAGCCATACTTACTAAACATGTTTTTCTATTTATAAGTAAAATTTTGAAGTCATGCAATCACACTTCGATGTTACTTATCTGTGTCATGATTTAAAATTTAAAACGCTTCTTTGTCTTGGCTAAGAATTGAGATTGTGTCATTGTGACTTGGAAACATCACAATTTGGTACTTGAATTGAATATTCACTTCCTAAATAAAGTTAGGGTTGAGATCGTGTCGCACCACTTTTTCCTTTTGACTTTGAATAGTTCTGCTGCAAGCTATAGGTGTGTTGTAATTTGTATGTTGATTCGTAGTCTTCTCTAATTTTCCTCCGTTTTTCGTGTTTCATTCCTCTCCTTGCTTCTTCATTTTAACTTTCACAATAAAACACCATAAAATTTATCTAACTAGGATGATTTCCACATATTTTGGTATTTTTCATGATTCTTCTAACTCTTTATTAAATTCTAAAAAATGAAGAAAAAAATATTTTAAAATAGAAAATTTAGGTATTAAAAATATACTATGATAGATTTTATTCATATTTTAATTTATTTTGAGAATTATTTAAATAAGACTTACATGTCACGTCTTTCTCTTAATACCTTATATGTAACTTCTTTCCTCATCTCACTCTCTAGTATGTAAAACGAGTATTCTTTTATGTAATCTAGTGAAGATGAGAAGAAGACAAGATCAAAGGAAGACAACCCTTAGAGGTCTAGCTTAGAGAATCAAAGAATGTTCTTAGGTTTATCTTAGGTTCTCTCACTGGCTTGATAAAATATTATGTTGGAGGACCATAATCGTCTCATGTTATTTTCTATGTATAAAGATGCATGAGAGACGATTTATTTGATAAGTAAGTTGGTGATATCAACTTAATTACAAATTCCATAAAAGTAAATATGAAGTTATAAGTATACTTGCTAAAATTATAAATCTGTAACAACCCCTAGTGATTAAGGGTAATCATATATTTTAAGGTTCTTTGTGAGGTTCAGAGCTAGCTCACACAAAGATGAAAAGCTTTGTATGTGGGTATTTTTGTCTTCGAGTTAGGTTGTCCTCTTAACCATGATGTTGGGGTATATATATATATATAGTTGTATTGGACATGGGTTCAAGGCTTCCTTGGAAATAGAAATCACTCAAAGAATGGACAATTTGTTTCTTGATATTCAGATGAGTGTGGTATACCTCTCCCACGACTTATTTCATGCAGTTATTGAATGAGAACACGTCACTTACTAATTCTGATGTTGGATGACTTATCCTAAAGAAATACGAGGTGTCCAATAAAAGGGTGAGACATCTAATAAATAGGAAATTAATCTGATAAAGGGGCGACTAAAAACCCCCCATGTCACCTCTGCATACTTTTCGCACAATTATATTGATACAATAAGCTTCCCAAAATTTAGCATTCATCAAGACTAGTACCGAACAATGTAGGTTTTGCTCGTTTAATGTGCATGTTCTATATTGGTCGGGTATGATGGATCATGGTAATAATGGAAAGTTTAAGTATCATAACAAAATTCCCCACAAGGAAGGTGGTAAAGGGAAGGAAGAGGAAGTTATTAAGCCCGAACATGCTACTTGAGCTTTAAGTCTAGTGTAGTATATCTAAGGAGCGAATTTGTTTCCATTACAGTAAGACCATACATTAGAAGAGGAACTTCCCAAAGTACTTGGAGGATAAAAATAATGAGTTAGAGACTTCAAGTTCATATATTTGATTATAGAAATAAATTTATTTATTTCTACATCATGGGTATTGGATAGTGGATGTGATTCTCACATTTGTACTAATGTGCATGGGCTAAAAAGGAGCAAAGAATTGACCAAGGGGTTAAGTTGATCAATTAGTTGGAAATAAAGCAAAGTTTATTTCTTTATCCATGTGAACTTATATTTAACTTTATCTAATCGTTTGTTAATTTAGTTAGAGGATTGTTATTATGTACATGGAAGTAGCATAAACATTATATATGTTTCTTATTTAGGCAATTTTGATTTTTTATTTATAATAAAGAATAATCGTTGCTATATTTATTTAAACGTCATATTCTATGTTAGTGCATAAATTAATAATGCATGGTAAGTCTTTCATCTTGAAATATCAATCTATAATATTGATACTAAAAGTAAGAAACATAACGAGTTGAATCTTACTTACCTTTAACATTGTTGTTTAGGTCACATAAAAACTCTGTAAAGATCAACTCATGGACTCTTTTAATATGAACCATTTATAATGCATAGATTTTGCTTACATGGAAAGATGATTGATGAGAGTCCATCATATTATGTTTTTAGTAGTTAATTTTGTTACTTTTAAGCATTTTTACTATTAATGTATTTCTATTTTGTAATTTTTTAATAAAGATTCTGAAGAATTGTGAAAAATACCAAACCAAATTGTAATCATCGGAAATGATAAAAAATTTATAGTATTTTATTTTAAAAATTACTATGACGAAGCAAGGTGAGAATTGGCACACACAAAAATGGAAGGAAAACAAAGAAGATTTGCAAAAGATAATCAATAATGGTGCATCTATACCTCATCATTGTGTTATCCAAATACAGATGGCCAGAGGTGTGTTTACAATAGCATAGTGATGTTATTCAAACATTTTGTTAGGAAATAATGAAAATTGTCAAAATAAAGTAGTCGAACAATAGCATAATGGTTATATCTAATAATGGCGTGCTTATATACCTTATGGTGAATTTATCTAACTACAAATGGTCAGAAGGGAGCTTACAATGGCATAGTGATGATATTCAAACATTTTGTCATGGAATTGCAAAAATTGTCAAAACAAATGAATCGGACAACAACGGTGCGGTTAGGTCTAATAACGACACACTCTCTTGTTTTTAGAATTTTTCTTTAAATGGTAAAACATGTTTAGTCATTATGATATGAATTTTTAAGAGGCAAAGGCATATTTTTGTACCAAGGAAAAGGGAAACAAAAGCTACCATTAAGGAATCATCTCTTATCATTGTAAGTCTTATTTCTTCCTTTTTAATCATAAGAATCATGAATCCTTTCCGAATGAGTGGCTAGTTCGCTTAAATTAAGTTCTTCTTAGATGATTTTACATTTATCATGTTACACAATATAATCTTTCTTGATTGTCTGTGTAACAAACCTTTGTTTAATCAAGTAAATGATATTATTTGAGTTTAATATTTTTTACCATGTATGGAATTAAAAGAATTGATTTAAATGGAAATTGATACCAAATAGGAGATTTTCATATTTGATTAATGATGTTGTGGAATTATTATGATTGATGGTAATATGGAAAAATTAGCCTTGGTTATTAGTCTAGTTTTAGGTGTTACAAAACTTTCATCAATTGTGATTATATTTTCTCAATTCTCTGGAGTCCGTCAGATGTCTATTTCGCTCTTTTTTTTTCCGGAACATATTAAGATTTTAGACTCGTATCCATTTAATACATATGTTATGTCCCGTTCTTATTTTTAAACTTTTACAGACACTGATATTATCATAAATTTTTTTAATTTTATAAATTTAAAAAGTATAGTGTCCGTGAATTCGTCCTACCCCACTACCATTTTTTCTGGCATGGCAAACTAAAATTTTAAATCTAATTGCAATTCCAATTAGTAGTTTTATGAATAGAACCCATAATATATTAAAAGGCAAATCAATGAGGTGGTTGTTCATATTCTAGCATATATGTGACTCCATCTTTATCTTGTTTTTACATTTTCATTAATATTCCAACATGTATTTCAGAATTTATCATGAATAAAATGCTATATAAGGTTCTTTCCATCAAATAATGATAATGTATCTGCATTTGGTAGAGATAATATTTTGTCATTAAAATTTTATTTGATTTGTGTGGATATTTTTAAAGTATATATATGACGTAGAAAATGTATATGTAGTGTTGAAATAAACACAATTTACTATTTATAAAGACACAAAACTCAAAAAAGTGAAGATAAGAGACGAGTAAAAATAAAGTGATATAGGTAAGGACGTGTGTGGGGGGTGGGGCTTTAATTTAATCTTAGTCAATCAACAAAGCAGCCGTGCAGCATCTGCCTACCTCTTTGAAAAGAAATTCGCATTTGGCAATTAAACTATCGCCTATTGGCTGCCAACTTATCTTTGATTTTGACTTCAATTTTGTCACTTTTTCGCATGCTCATGCATACTATTACTCACACAACCCATCTTTCACGCATTGGATCTAATTTAATCTTATAAAACTGATCGGTAAGATATGAATTATTTATCAGGCTATAGATTATCTGATGTAGAACTTTTAATGATATTAATTTATTTTACGGGATGGTTTAATGATTAAACCTTAATTATATCCTAGTATATGTCTAAATAAACAGTAAATAATTTCTTCTAAACTCGGCATAGTACATGGAATCAGAGAGACTCTATTTTCAAACAAGGAAACAGTACTTTACTTTTAACCATAACCAAAAAATGAAAGAAACATGCTTTTTTATCATTAAAACAGAGCTTCAATCATACAAACAATTTTATTCGTTTTGAGAAAGCTCTATACAAAATAGTACAAATCTTCGAACTACTAAAGATAAAAAAAATACACATAAAATAACAAGAGCTATTACACCTATTACGCAGTTTCAACGTGTCTTACAAAGACGGTTTCTAAATCTGGCGCTGTAAAAAACTCTCTTACAACACTACCACTGCCATGATAGTTTCTGTTCCACTTCAAAGAAGATTTTTGCTTTCTAGGAGCAGGTGGACACGTGAACAACGTTGGAATTTTCGATTCCTCGCTTGTCGGTGTTGAACATTCTTCCTCTGTAACAATTCCATCTTCTTCTTGTTGTTGTTTCTGTTCTTGTTCTTGTTGTTGTTTTTCTATAGGAATTGTTAAAATTGGCTTCAATGGAGATCGTAAAGAAATTCCAGCTATAACCCATTTTTTATTATTTTCTGACTCAATTCCTCCCTCTACTTGTGCTTTCTCAGAGTATCCCATATTGGAGTATAAAGTGAGGAATAGGATGAAATGAAAATGTGAGAGATGAAAAGGGTGGAGAAGAGGGAAAAGAGAGTTTTTTGAGAGATGGAAAGAGAAAAGAGTAAGATATGGTATTAAATGTAGGAGAGAGGGGTGTGATGTTGAAAGTTGCGTGTGGGAAAAGAAGAATGGAAAAGGAAACAAGAGAGAACCCGAGGAAACTCGTGACATAAGCAAAGACAATAAGGTTAATATAGTAACATTAACCAATGAGAACAAGAGAGATGCTTGTGAAAATTGGTTAACATCTGGTATGATGTATAGATAAAATTATTAAATAATTATGGCTGAGGTTAACTTGTGCTTTATTATAGAATTTGTGTAAAAAAATAATAAATTTTTTATTCAAAGATAAGTAAAATTTAGTCATTAATTTTATTTTAAGTTTAGATTTTAACTTTTATTGTTTCGATTTGGCCAAGATAGTTATATATTATTTAGGAATTGAGTTTAATTAAGGATAATTTATATACAATATTCATACACTTTCAATTTAATGAGACGTTTTTTTTTAAATGCGAAGGCGTGAGGGTTTTCACACTCAAACAAAACATTATTTTGTAGTCGCGGTAGCGCGAGCTTGAAGTCGACCAAAACAATGACGTTATTTGTGGAAATTTGAAGTTCGCATCATGTCTTATAGCCTCGACTTGAAAGCAACTCATTAGGCTGGCCAAAACAGTCTCATATTGTTTGGGAATCGAGGTTAAAGGGATTTTATATACAACACTCATGTACTTCAACCCAACAATACGTCTTCTTCAAAGAATAAAATTGTGATGATTCTCATACCCAAAGCAGATACCTTGTAACCACAATGGCGTGAACTTGAGGATGACTCAGTGGGAACTCGAAGTTCGCATTGTGTTCCTTAGTCTCAATTAAGAAGCAACTATTTCGGATTGGTCAAAATAATCAACATTGTTTAGAAATCGAGACTAAGAGTTATATATATATATATATATATATATATATATATATATATATATATAACAATCATACACATCAACTTAACGAGTGTCTTTTCTAAAGAACAAATTTGTGATAATTTTCACACTCAATACAGACAATATTTCATAGCGCTAGTGGTGTAAATTTGAGATAATCCAAATATTGACTCTAGAATGAGAGGGGCAAGTGTTACGGGCAGGCTAAAATAGTAGCTCGTTACTAGGTTATAGAATCTAAGGGCAATTTATATAGTACACTCATATACCACAACTCAATGAGACATTTTTAAAAAAATAAATTTGTAAGAATTCTCACGTTTAAAACGGACAATATTATGGTGGTTCATTTTAAATAAAAAATCTTTTAACACTTAAATTTAATTACTTAGTTATTGTGTTTAAAGTTTGAACTTAAATTTTGACTATTATGGTGTGAGAAATATTAGAACAGTCACAATTAAAATAAAAATTTATTTGAAAGTACTTGTCAAAATATATTCATTTTATTTTATTTCTACGCTTTTTTGTGTATATAAATAGTGTGTTTAAGTCTTTTGACTACGCAAAACTCTTTCGAGCATATTTATTTTTTATTTTTGATTAAATTATATTTTTTCAATATAACAATTTAAGTGATTTTATATTAAGATTTATTTTAATTTTCATTAAAATGGGATGGGTGCACAGGATCTATTGCAACAGCACCTTAAACATTTATTAAAGAAAAGAAAAAATATAAAGATGAAGGAGACAAAATCAAAATCTACGAGAAGAACAACATCGACAAAAGAAAATAAAATAAAATAGAATGTACAAAAAACATGAATGGCAACTCTTACCAAAAAACTTTAAATCATTTGCTTGTCAGTTGCTTCTTCTTGCTCTTCTTCTTTCTTGTGTCCAGTTCACTTTAAGAATCATTCAATAAGTTTTAAATTTTCAAATATATAAAATTAATTGACATGTTTGTTTATTCTTGAATAGTATTCCATCAGTTCCAAAATAAATTTCACACTAATGATAATTTAAATGCATCAAATTATTCATATACCAATAGTTTATATACTAATATATGTAACAATGATAAATGTCACATCAATGCAACTTTAATTTTTTATCTTCTGATTATACTATTTAATTAATATTCTTAATTTATTATTTTTTATTATGTATTAAAGATAATTAGAATACACCAATAATTAATAAAAATAATTTAATAAAATTATTATTTTCTCTTTTATTTATTATATTTTCTTAATTGGTATGAAAGTTTTAAATATTATATTTATTTTAGAACGGATGGAGTATTAAATTTAGATTAAAAACTAGTTATTTTATAATTTGTTAAGTTTAAATATAGAATTTATCGTTCAATTCACTTTACATAAATATATTTGAATAAAATTTATTTTATTTTACTTATTTTTAAATAAATAAATTGTATAAAGTTAATTATTTTTAAATTAATTTTATCAATGTAGAAACAAAAGAAAAATTGAAAATAAGCATTAGAAAACAAAGGGACATTGTATTTAGTATTGTTTCAATGATAATATTTTCTCTTTTCTCAAACTTTAGAATGTCCTTAATTTTGATGTATTTATAGACCACAATGTGCATTTCAAACAAAACTATTTTATAATATAATAGAATATACACATTGTTAGATATATTAGGTAAGAAAAAATATTTGGTTGAATTTGGCGCCAATATTTTGGTGAAAAAAGATGGGAGAGAGAATGAGTTTTGGCGCCATTTGTTTTATGTTATTGGGATCAACAATAGCTCCAAATACAAAGCGTCTTTTTTTTTTAAAAAGAAAAAAAAAATGGTCTTTTTCTTTTACCCAAACTTTCTTAAAATGCTTTTTATAGGGAATCATATCATATCATCATCATCAACCAAATTTTGTTTGGCAAAAAAATTATCCTAATCACATTTAATAAATAAGATTATATTTTTTTTATAACATAAATAAGATTATATTGATTCTGTACTGCTTGTCATTTTGAAAATGTAATGCAATATTACTTATTAGATTGTCAATAATAATTTTAATTATTTATTATAAAAAGATAAAAGATAAAATTAAAAAATATTTATTTATTAATTGTCTATGAATATAAAACTATTACATAAAATGGAATAGAATGAGTACTCCTTTTGTTTTAAAATAATTAATTTAATTGATCAATTTGCACATATTAAAAATATTAATAAAAAGAAATAAAAATACTTATATAAAAAAATTTTGTACTCTCTCTATCTCAAAATAATTGTCGCATTTTATAAAATTATTTGTTCTAAATTAAGTGTCGCATTTTAGTTTTTAATACAATTTTAATGTTTATCTTCTAATTATGTCATCTAATTAATACTCTTAATTTGTTATTCTTCCATTCTGCATTTATGATAATTCAAATAAACAAAGATAGTTTAGTAAAAAATACTATTTTTTTCTTTTATTTTATTTTTTTAATATATGTGAAATGACCAACTATGATAATTGATATTGACGGCTGATCAGAATCTGAAGTGGGACAAAAACTTCGTTGTTGATGCTGGGTTGCAAGGATGAGGAGGGGGTGTATCTGTAAGGCCTTCCGATGCTAAAGTAAGAATCGGGAGGAAAGAAGGCAAGTACAGAAAGTGTATGTCTTAGGGTGATTTAGAATGATTTAGAATATCTGACCCTCTCAGGTGAGAGGATTTTTATATTGCCTCAGCGCTTGGCCACTGGTTCCTATTTTTGGGCGAGATAACCGCTCCCTGAAGAATATGTAACGGCTAGAAACTAGCCGTTGGGACGAGGAAAGTTGCTTGAAACTAGTCATTGCCACGAGCAAGGGCAAGGCAAGGTCATGTGCACGGGCGTCGTGACTGTTTTTGGATGGTAAAACTGTGCGTGACGGACAGGAATGTGACGAGGGACAGTTGATATTGAGGGTCAGCTGACCAGCTTTCTTCGACATAGGGACAAAGGAGAGGAAGCTTCACTTTGCCCTTAGCTATCAGGGCGAAGGCAATTTGACTGTCATCGGAGAAGAAGTGAATTGGGTCATGCCTAATCATTGAGTCAGTCCGAAACAATAATAATTTTAAAACAGGTTGAGTATTATATATTGTTATTCACATTTATCATAAATACAAATAAATAATATTTAAGAAAGTGATACAAGTAGCATTTATTAGATAATATAATTATAAATTATAATGTTGTGTTAAAAAATGAGAGATCAAATGTTTTGGTATAATTATTTTATAAGTATATAAATATTCAAAAACCATTTTGACCATCGAGTTAGCAAAATTATGAAATGGAGGAGTTGGTTAGAAAATCGCTCGTGAATGATTTGGTTTAGATAAGGGGTATATATGGATTGGGTTAAATTGGGTTTAACCTAACCTTTTATCTAACTTGTTCAAATTTTAATAGGTTGAGTTTGTCGTCCAATCCACAATTTTATTATTAAAACGGACTCGAATTGTTCATTTATAGATTGGATTGGGTTCGTTGTATTTCAAATAAAAATATATATTTTTTATGATTCTTTTTGCCGATTTAAACAAAATGTAATACAATTCAATACAATCATACTCATTTATAATATTAAAATTTGATAAAACACACCATATAATATTTAATAAATTTCATCAACATGACAAAAATACTTGATAATAGTATAAAATTCAATAAAAGATGTTATTTTCTATTGAAAATGATATAAAAGAAAATAAGAAATAATTTTTAATTTTAGAATTAGGTAAATCCATTGATAGTAGTATTATTGGTGGAGAATAATTTTTTTTTAAAAAATATGGTTATTAGTGAGATGTTAATTTTATATTTTTATTTAAAATAAATTAAAAAAATTACTAAAATCACATCAATAGTTGAGTCAACAGGTTTGTGGATTGCAAAACTCAAACCTAATACTCGAATTAAATTGGATATATCCGTAAATAAATAAATAAATTTAAATAATTTATAAATTTATTTAATTTAAA